CTTATGCTAGGTGCTAAGCACTCTTGCCAGAGTTTACTTAATTTAACGCAAAAGTTTGGTTGCGACTAGCTTTTAATATTTGGCTATGCTTACTTGTCGAGTATGTCTAAGTGAAGCTGGTCTCTACAAAAGCGTTCGTGAGAACCTTTACCAACTGGCTTGATAATTATTAAGATTTGCCCAAATTGAATAGGTCGCGCATTGAACAACAGTGTCTATAGCGCTATTGGATTAACGAGCAATATGGCACCCAAAGCCCATCCACAGAATATTACTGTTAAATTGTGAAAAGCGAACGCTACCTGCTGTGTGAAAAACGAGGCTAGAGTGAGCAAACTGGAATAAAGTACTCTAACAGTTTTAATAGTTCACAAACGAAATGCGCTTATCGAAGGGTTGGCGACGCCACGAATCAAAACAAGAAACAGACAAACCTTTAAGCGTAATAAATCCGCACTACTCATTGGTAATTCAATCTCAGCCCGTATAGATTCTAAGTCGTTGTGTCGTACCAAGGCTAAATGATGTCCTCCACACAGTTCGTAACTTACACGTCAGTAAACGATGAGACGGCCTATGTCACAGTCAACTGTCAATCATGCAGAAAAATGGCTGTCACCCATGACGAAGTTGCACTATCTGTTGTGAAACGGAACGTCATTAGGTGGTACCCGGCAAGGGTCCGGTAGAAGGTTCATCACTGACGAGACCCGGAAGATTGAAACAACGGTGTCTGGCGCTTTTCCATAATAACCAAAGATTGCTGACTGTGAGTGTAGCGTGATGAACTGTCTTAAAAACAATTTTATCAGCACTGCTTGCTTTTGCAAGGATTGTACATTAAATCATTTAGTTAGTATTTGCCTGTGTTGGAGCAAATGTGACACTGCATCGCAGATATTTTAGCGAGGTAAACGAGAGTAAGAGTTCCCCTATTGGATCAAAACAAATCGGTGCCTCAGATTCGTTGCCATTCATCTAGCTCCAAACCAAAACAGATACTCCAAATGTCAGATAGTAGGGATGCAATCGAAACTAGTTGTATTATGCAACTAGCTCCTCATATATCCTCAGTGTACTAATTTGAACCGCGGCTAATCCAAATAAACCTTTAGGCAGAAAATGATACAAAGGCCATTGGGTTATTAGAAAATCATCTCCAATATGCCACCTTCACTCTTTGCGCTTTTCCAAATCTTTATCAGAGCTTGCCTCAAAACCATGGAACGCAAGACGTTGCCCGTGACAAGCGGAAGCGAAATCGATGTTTGTATCCGGTGTCTTAGATCATGAAACTTTAAGCCTTAATGTCTCTGGAATATGATCACACTGATGGCACTACACGCTTAAAGTCCGTACTCCCAAAAGCATAATCAGTTGCTCAACTTGAAGCAATAAATTAACCTTCGTGTAAAAACGGGCGTCTACGAGTGATGGAATTAACATGGCTTTCCAAACCCAAAGCATAAAATGCGGTGGAAGCATGACACAAACCGCGCAGGTAGCCGCCATCCTTAATATATTATATATTTCGCTGCGGAAATGGTAGACAAATATAAGCAACACATCTAAAGTAGAAGATGTTTTGAGCGACTCTTTCAATATGCAACTCAAAACCACAAGCCTGTCAAAACACTTCATCACATAAGAAAAGGTCTTGCCTATCAACTACCTGATGGAAATTTATACTGTTCATACAAAAATGGAATGGGCCTGCGATGTTGTCTGCAATTCAGCAAATAAACGACTAAATGTCTATTGTGGAATAGCCAGCATAAGAACTCGCCACAAATTGGCATTTACGTTGTGCTTCTATCCTCCAAAGCCCTCACTGGTATACGAGCCGACTTGCAGAGTCTTCTCAGTGAGCTAACCGAGCATCGCTCTCATCAGTTTGAAGCATCGGGAAGAATTACTGCCTACCTAGTCTTGGCTGACTACTGAGATCACTGATGCCGAGATAGCTCTGGTATGTATGATTCCGAGAAGGAAAGATTACTGCGGCAGAGGAGGCAAAGTAGTCTTGTGCTGATCTGCACATGGATAGTATCTACAATACATAAATGCAGGTTGTCGATCCTCTTTGATGTCGTCTGCATCTGAGACTTGGTTCTGTGTTTACTAAAACTAGTTTACCGCCGTCAAGGTCCTCCATAGATATTATCCCTGGTTAGCTTTTGTTTTGAATTTGATTCCGGCGCGTTTACACTGTCAGATCCAACTGGTGTGATAATTCAACAGGCTGACAATTGAATCTGCAGTTTCTTACAGCGAACCATTCAAAGTAACCTGGAAAATAGTAAAAACCAATGTACCGCCATGACATCATGCTGCCATTCACAAACGATTCCTAAAAGATTTCGAAACATAGGTTTTAGAATCTGTATGCACCAATTGAGAACTAATGGTGACTACCGAAACCAATGAAGCGGTGCTTGGCCGCAGAGAACAAGCAAAGCTACTTTTGCGTCAAAGTTGCTACGTAGAGGTCATTAGCGTAATCAATGAGATAGTTCACGTCGTCAACCCTTAAAACATCCTATTCGAATTCGTTATCAGCGCAGCCTCCTCCTGACTTCACCTAAACTGGAAATTATCGTTCACTCCTACCATCGATAACACCTATCGGAGAAATCCAAAGATAGACAATATTTTCGCGAATGCAGTATTGAATTATATTGAAAATAAAATAACCCCAACACAAAAGGACGGATTCAGCCCAATGCGATTCTGCACTAACCAATTTACTGCTAGTTCAATCAAGCTGGATGAATCCTGCCAATGCCATAATAGTAATTCTCTTCTTTTACATGGACTTGTCTAAAGCGCTTCACAGCCTGACTAACAATTTTTCTTTCACAAGCATCAAAATAATGGGGTGAGTGACTCTATTCTTGGGTGTATAAGCAAATCACCTCACAAGATCAACTTAACTTTGGACTCCGCAGCGCTGTTTGTGACCTGATTGTGGTATAGAGTCACGGGTTCCAAGGACGTTTATTCAGGTTACTTTTACTTCTAGTCTTCATTATTGATTTCCAGAAGCTGCTTCAAAGAAACTACAGAATATATTCAGGCAGTATAAAGATCTCACAAGACGTTGAGAACACATGCGACCCCAAGGAAATGCTAAACGAACCTGACAAGTCCTGTGTGTGGTCATGCAAGAATTATCTTCCGTTTAACGTCATGAAATACAACCACTTTAAACCATGCTATTAGCCTATCCATGCATATCACTTATAAGAATTACAGTTGAAATGTTCTACAGCGGAAGTCGATCACGATGAACGTGCGCAGCATGAGATTGGATTCTGGAAGCAGAACATAAAAGAACATCCAGGTTTTCAAGTTAGCAATATGGCTTCCTAAGTGTGACTTTCAGGAAGTTCCAGTCTACTTTAAATTTCGCAAATGATGAGCGCCTACGTAAAACCTAATATATAATATGCTAAGCAAGCCAAATGTACATTGATTAATCACGACTTTGTTGGGTTTGAAACCGCACAAAACCGTGTGACCAAATTCGCTAGATGGTTCTTCCATCTTCACAGCTAACTGAGATTACAACCCTATGTCTGTACAGTAATGAATATTGGCGCATATGATCAACTCACATAAGAATGTAACTGGTATTGGCAAACCCCAATTAGGCCTATCAGTTTCATTGTAATCCAACCGCAATACATACATGAGTCCACAAGCACAAACATGTATATTACGAAAGTCAAGCAGCCTGCTGAAGAAGTGTGTTTTCTCTTCAGGTACTTGAAGTTGGAACATTCCTCAACTTATGTCATACTTGCACTTAAGTCAACTCTATTAGACAAACCAGTTGCTGATATGCGATTCTAACAGCATGAATTGATTATGTCCGTTTTACTCATGAGACTAGGTAAAGCTTAACAAACAATTTGCTCACTACCTTTATCTATAATTTGCGTTCAGATATCCTGCAATCGTATTAAAGTTAACAGCTTGTTGATACATTTAAATTTTGAATAAGCCCTTGTCTAGTTTTAAGTCTTTGCTAAAGTCATTGTAAGAGAATTATAATGCGGCGTATTTATTTGTTATAATTCAATGCGTATTGTCTATTGTATTTTTAACTGCTTTTTGTTACACATCTGTTTTCTGAACTACTAAAACACATCCTTTGATTTTGGTTTTAACATCTACATTGAGACACATAACATATTTAACTTCGGTCTATATTTATTTCAATAATTATATTACACCTCATAACACTATATTAGTTTTTAATACACGATATTTATAAAATCCTAAACATATCATGTTCATTTCATAAAATTTTCTTCTTTGTTAGTCGTTGAAATTTACTACGAAATCATAGAGCTCTCTAATCGGCCTAGTCAACATATATGTTGCTTGCTTTTTGTGTTAGACCTATTGTCTTTAAAACTACTCACAAGAAAGAAACTTGTATACGGCCTATCTAAATTGTCTTCTTTGGTATGGGCACGTAGTTGCAAATCTTTAGGTGCAATTACTATAAATACGGGACTGATACGGCCGCCCTGATGCTTCTAAGGCTGAACACTATATAAAATATTTTTACTCCACAGCAATCGTTATGGTGGACAGTAAAATTATCAGCTGAAGTGTTAATATTCTTGTATATCCTGTGGGTCCATGCTAAACTGTCTGGAACTAACGTGCATTCCCATAACGATCGTGTAGTTCCTATAGTTTTACATCGTGCATCAAAGGACCGAGTTGCAATAATATATTGTTAATCAAATTTGTTCAGTTGGATTGACATTGGAACAAATATAAAATAAATTTAAAACTCAGAACATATAATTATTTTTTGATTTTACTCTTTGATATTTTAAAATACAAGATATGCACACAAGGATTGTAGTCGAACCAAAAATAGAGTCCCAAGATGCCGACTTTACTATCAATGTTAGTCACATACTGCGCTTATGCAGATGGCAAAACGGCATATCCTAATCGCCATTGTTTTTTATTTCTAGGTGAGATTGACAACACTACTTACTCTTTTTATCCGAACGAGGTCTTTACGCGTCCTGAAAAAAGAACAGGTCATTCCAAGTCACGATGTAAGAGTTGTATTAAAATTAGTATTTTCTGAATTACCAATGTCCTTGATTACTCGTAAAGCAAACAAACTGCTTTTGTTTCAGTCTATACGGGATTTGTAATTATAGAACTGTCGGTGCGTATTCTGAACTCCGCCAAGCTTGGAATCACTGAAGTTGTCAAACATTGCGAAAGATTAGGACCGATGTTTCACGTGCTTCATATGCGCTCTCACTGAGCAATTTAGCTGAATTTGACCTTACTATGAATTACGCTAATACATGATATTTAATTTCTTTTCAACATATTTTTCAACCGTTAGAATGTGTAAAAGTACGCGTTAGAGTGCTAGAAGAAGTGTTGTCTATATCGTCCCACAGTCTGCGATCTTCCGTTACCATAATATAACTGGAAGTAGTATACGCTTTCACTGAAACTGATAAACTATTACGGATGTGGGCATTGGGAATGAATTGTTCCACATATGCTACTTTTCACTGGTTTTTCATTAGGACAATGCAACGTCATTGAAATTCATTGATGTGCACATCGAATTTGTGATCAGGTTCTTTTTCTGACATTTTCAAATATTCTCCTCAGCTAAGATTTTTAAGACCAATGGAGAAGCTCGGCTAGCATTTTGATTTTTTTCTATTATTTACGTCGTATAGTTGAGCTGGATAAACGGATGTTTCGCCACACGTACTCACTTTGAACAAAGTTTACGAATTCCTTTTTATACATTTCTAAACTTTGTGAACTGCTGCACAACATAACTACGTTTTACTCTTTACCTCCGTTTTCGTAATAGGTTCAAGCTCCTCAGCTAACAGACCAGCAAAGCACATATGGATTATCCTGCTGATGAAATGTACAAAGACTTTACTGTGATATGATTGGGAAAAGATCAAATTTACCAACACATGTTATTAAACCTAACTGGTTTAATGTTATCCGATTCAAACTGTGAGCCGATAGCCACGAGCGCACAGGACTTCTGGTTTTCATAAACAGACAGTGCCTTAATCGAACAAAATGCAGTGCATAATGCAACATTATTTTGATTTACAAAATGAGGTCAGACAAATAATCTCATTTATTTACCGATTTTTTTAATTCGAAATAAAAATCAATTTATCTGCCTACAGTTATCCAGAAATTCAATTAGGTTGCCATTCTTTGATGGCGCAGCAAACAAGAAACTCAGAATCATGCAAAATATACCCTATATTTATTCATAGTGGCTTGATTCCATTTATTGGCATTAAGGAGTCACTACAAAAGGTTAATCTCTCTCAGATATTATTTTCCCTCTGCGTTATTTAAAATCAGAAAACCCTAAGCTGCTTTCTTTTTGTTCTTAGTTCTGTTTAACAGGCGAGTTTAATGAACGTAGCTCATTCCGGCATTTGCAAGCCTATTCCAGTTGTAAAATTTTACCAGCACGTTTCCAAACTAGATATTGTGCGCTAACCCTAACAATCCGCTGGTTCCGGTTGGCCAAACTGACTTTGTGTACGACGGGGTGTTCTCTTGTAGAGCAAATAGTGTGATTGCTCAGTAACAACGGTCCATCATACCAGTGTAACCTCGGTGTAAAATAGTTGTTCAGCGACGCATTTTACTGCTCCACATGTTCTACTGTTGTAACTGAGCAAGCATTTTCTTCGCAGCATTGATATAATTGTATTTGATGTTTATTTTATCGAGGAATAGTTGTGGAACTGCAATGGCTTCATAAGAAATACCTGATGCCGTGAACTCACTGTTTGGACGACTTGTGTTAGGCCTTACCTAATGCATGTAGGGAAGCGAATGGTGCGCCTTCTTAACTAGTCAATGGGCTACGTAAAATCTGCATCATATGTAGGACAGAAGCTTAAATGGGTGACATGAAAGCAACATGAAAGGTGATTTCCCCTGTCCTCTTCAATTCCAAGCCAGGAACCTCTTGCCACTGACTACCGTCGCGGCGGTAGAGACGGAATGTTCATCTGGCGCATACTAGGAGGGTAATTAAAAGTGAACTGCGGCAGATCTCTAACGCAACGTGTTGGTCACACTTGGAAAGTATTAAAACCGAGGATGCTTCGGGCGCGCTCCGTAGTCGCGCTTTCTAATCGGGTGGTAAACGACTGGAACAGTCTCCAAAGAACCGTAGTCAGCGTACAGACAGAAGAAATTTTCAAGCTGCTTTTAGATTCTGTGATGTGGAAGATGCCTGGACAGCAAAGTTCCTCTGCGACTTCCCTGGTCACTTGTGAACGTTGCGTCGCTAAGCCGCACTTGATTCTCATGTTGATCTGGAGGCGACAATGCTAACATGGGCTTCATTTCTGCCCACTACAAATCAATGAAATCAATGAACTCAACGACTACACAAGGATACTCAGCGTTAGAGTTCATTCTTCAATAGCTAATAATTTCGCCGTTTAATCTTAGAGCAGTGTATCATGGTAGATTTAAGGAGTAATTTGGATAAACCGTTTTATAAGAGACGAAACTGCAGCTTCACTGGACACATGAAAAGGATTATTAAGCAGAATATAACATTGTTTCCAAAAAACTCAAATGTTATCAATATATTAGATATCTAAATATAGCAAGCATGTGTTTTATTTTGGAACGCATGCCTAGGACGGAGAAAGTTGCAAATTTGGAAATAATAACATGATTGGTGTAACAGTAGTTCATAAAAAACGCTGACAGATCTCATATGACTGATCTACTTAGCAGTTATTGCTTAACTAGAAATTGATCAAAATGTAGTGGTTCATCCCAGCTGCTCACAAGCTAGATTTGTCTAACCAAAATCTGGAAAAAAGCAAACGATCGGTTTTCCACATCTACGCTCGTCATCAGTGGGCATTCTCTCAGCAGCTTTTACAAGGGAACATGTGGGCCAGAGGTCGTCGCTAGTATTTGCAAGAAACGTTCACTAGAATTCCACCTACTCCAAAGTAACAAAATTTATGTATAGGTAGAAATCAGTCACATAGAGACTCACTCGGACAGTCGTCACATGCCCGGAAAAGCCCTGTTCGCGCGTTTCATCCTTTCAGGAATCATCAGCAGTGCGCATTTTATCGGACCCTTGTAGGGCTCGAAACTGTAACTCGACTGTTGTCAGTCCGTGATTGAAAACACTGAGCTACTGTGGACGGCAACGACCATCGTGAATGTTACTAGCGCCGCTCACTAGCCACTGACTTGCTCGTTACTACCGTGCAGAGGACAGGGTAGCCCCACTCATCAAGCGACGAGCTTAACAAACTTAAGCCGCTAATCAACTTTATGTCATTATAAGCAGTTTGGTCTGCATGGCAGTAACGTGTAAGTCAGTGAATAGTGATCGGAGCTATATCACACCTAGTAACTTATTCACGATGGTCGTTGCCGTCCCCCGTAGCTCAGTGGTCTTAACCACGGACTGGCAACGTTCGAGATACGGGATCGTGTCCAACCAGGGTCCGATGGAATGCGCACTGCTGAAGATTCCCGAAAGGATACAGTATGCCTACAGTGCTTTTCCGGGCGTGTGACGGCTGTCTGAGTAAGCCTAAATGTGGCGAATTTCTACCCATCCCCATCAACCCCCCTACTGCTCCTCTGTAAAATTTATGTAGTCAAACAATTGACAAATAATGGATAGCTGACGTGTTGGCAGATATGATGTGTACATATTCTTGGGCAAGAACTTCGATAAACATTTTTATAACGCTCCATGAATAAAGTATATAGTATTGATGCAAGTAGGATAAACTATTTTGTAATTATTTACTATGTTGGCTACGTTCATATTATATGCAAGTCAAGACATTGCAATGCAAGCTCCATGTACCCAATTTGGCACAATTTCATCATACAACCAAACCGAACATGGATTGACAATAATCACATTATTGGCAATGTAATTTTGTATTAATAAGAAAGGAGCAGTGTGCACATTTGTAGATTACATAAGCGGTCCGGGATCAGCACGTAAGAATTACGCTGTCATTGACAGAACAAACCGTATACGTAATATGTTTCTGAGAACACTTGAAGGCTTGCTTTCCAACCAGAATGACCTATCCCAAGATTACCAGGAAGTTTCAAGGTAGTAAATAGCTTACAAATCGATTACTTTGGGTTTATATAAAGAAATCGGTGTAAGACAGTAAGAACGGGCTTAGCACTCTTTTAACAAAAGCAATGTTAACAAACTCAGCGAAAACTGTTTCATATTTAGTTAATAAAAGGGTTGTGTTGCAGGAATAGGACAACAAAAATTTAAATACGGAAGCTGATGTTACTTTCTGGCTTTCAACTTTCACAGCTTTTTGTTTTTTTCTCTGGTCTATGAATCACTGTGAGGTTTTCAGGCAAAGAACTAGTTTAGATCACTGGATAGTATATATTCCAACACGGTCAAACGCAAGCAGTTATAAACCATGAGACCAGACTACTAGATACTAACGAAGTCCTGAAACGGCTAAAAACAACGATGGTACACTATATTTAGCGAATATTTCATTTTCGTGAAGGTACTGCATGCGATCACAGCTCAGTAAATTCCCAGCTGCTCCACCAACGTGAAGGCTTCATATCCTCACCATCGATGGAAGCTCGTGTGCACCCAATGCTGCGGAGATTTTAAGAGTTTCCTATAAGGTAAAAATACAACTGAGTTTGGAAGTACACAGCGATAGGCTGCATGGTTTGAACTAAGCTGTGAGGTTCCCAAGTTTATTGATGAGCACCCTGGATTAGGTGGTCTGGGTACTTCAACAAGGTTGCCTCTTCCGTGAGAGAGATTGAATGTTCATTGGTAAAAAGTCAGCTAGGGACAGACCTCCTCCACGAATAACCCAGCTATTTGCTGTGGTTAATGAGGCAATGCTTACTATACCAGGTAAACTGGGTACATTTGATAAAACACTCCTTCTGCAGATGGACAACCATGACTCGAATCCCAATGAAGATGAGATCGCACAACAACGGTAAATGGTTAACGTAGCCAAAGTATTTGCTATCGTTCAGGAAGCAGATGCTTACTCTATCAAATGAGAAAAAACGCGTCATGAAGTGCAGCGTTTTCAGGCGAGCAACAGCCAATTACCATCGCTTTCTACTGCGATCCAAGGGCTCGGATGACCGAGATCCACTTCATTAGATAGCTCGATTAATATTAAGAATGCGCCTCGCTATTCATCCACAAAACTTGTACTTAAATATGGCTACACAAACAGTCAATGACCGTTGTGCCACCTCTTGCCCGTCGTGACTTGGTGCCAACAGTTATAGAGGTTTTGGCTACTATTAGAGCGTTCGCTGATCCGATGTCTGCTACTTCTATCTGACAAGATCAAATAGATGCGGGTGTAACCATCTTTTATTCAAAGATGGATTCAAATAGTCTAGAAGCCAGTATACCGTATCTTAAGTGTGTATTGAACTACAATATGCCAACTAATGAGAGTTCCCAAATTCGTCGACACAAAGGTCCCAGCATTTAGAAGCCTTGAAAATGTATTCAAAACAATCAAAGTGCAAGTAAATTAATGGATATTTGGGTATTAGGTTTTGGCACTAGCATTGTAATTGCAATCCGCCAGATGTTAGCGCTCTTGGGTTTCTTTAACACAGCTTTTATAATTCCACGAAAGTACCAGATAATTATCACATTTCTTGCGGAAGAGAGGATACTGTATAACTGGACCGTGTGATTTGTTCCGTTTCAGGTTATCATTCCTCTATATACTGTTAAGCTATTCAAAATACGTGAATTATTTGTGGACAATTGTAACTCTTTGAAGACAGTGTTTGTCTCGGGATCTTCCGCATCCACATTGAACTGAGTGGTTTTGCTAATGAATCTGCCTAACCATTTTAACATGTAAAATCTTTTTGGATAAATGCTACTTCCTATTATGGCTTGAACTTTGTATACATGATCCGACACAAATCGATTTCTGTGTCCGTACACAAAAGTTTCAATGCCGCAGTGCGTTGCTTTTAGAGGTCTATTGTTTAAGTCTAAGCAGTCGCTTGTCTGGTTGCGCCCAGAAACAACCTGCAAGAATAAAATTGTTTAGCGCCGCAGAAGCTGTAGAAGCAAACATTTAGATCATTGGTTAACTTATCGCACTATTATAAC